CCTTGAAGTGGCGCGAGATCGTCCCCTCCACCGTGTTCGCCTCCTCGCCGCCCATCTCCTCCTCGTCGACGGCGGCCGGCCGCGTCTCGGCGGCGGCGGCCGCCGTCGCCGCGTCCTTGGCCTTGCCCGACTCGTCGTAGAGCTGCGTCTCGTTGAACATCTGCCCCGCCTTGAGCTCTGCGTCGTCCTCCTTCTCCGTCGCTGCGGCGACGGCGCGGTACCGCTCGAGCCGCGCCTCGTCCTCCTCGCCAAAGAGCTGCACCGGCTGGCCCAGCTGCCGCAGCAGCCGCTTCACCTCCTTTGGCTCCAGGTGCACCATGTCGCCGCCTGCGCTGCTCGCGCCGCCGGCGCCGACGCCGCCCGCTCTCGCAGCAGCGGACAGTCCGCCCACGAGCGCGGCGCCCGTGCCGGTATTGTCCACCGCCGCCGCCGCGCTGCCCTCCCCCTCGTATCTCCGCAGGCAAGGCACGACCAGCTTGCGCGACGCCTCCGCAGCCGCCATCTCCTCGCGGTACGCCGCCTCGCGCTGCGCCTCGAGCTCGCCGCGCCGCACCCACTTCTTCTTGCCGCCGCCGCCGCCGGCCGCGGCCGCCTCCTCCCGCTCCTTTCGCTTCTTCTCCATCGCATCGCGAAGCGCCTCCATCTTGCCTGGGGCACGCCTGAAGGAAAAAGAATGTATGGTGGTAGAACAGGAGAAAAGACGAGCACTTGCGCTCCCCGCTCCCGTTCCCCTGTGTCCCTGATCGTCCTTCCAAGATCCTGCTCGTGCAGGTGGGGACCCTGTCCCTCTCCCACCCCTCGTTTGGCGTGCCCGTTTTATTTATTTATTTACGAGCACTTGTTGTGTGTTGTGTGTTGTGGTGGTGTGCGGTGTGCGGCGGGTGTGTGTGTTGTGCGTTGTGTGTTGCGTGTTGTGCGGCGGGCGGTGGGCGCAATGCGGGTGGGGGTGGGGTGGGGGGTCGGGGGGGGGGCACTCACCCGGGGTTGCAGGGAGGGGGGGGGGGGGGGGGGGCCTCCCCCAATCTAAAACGTCTAAAGAAGGGGGAAAGGGGAAAGTATGGCCCCCCACCGAGGGAGGAACGGCGAAACGGGCGGCGGGGAAAAATCTTTAAAAAGGAAGGGGGGCGGCAAGGGCGGCGCCAAAGGTCCCCGCGGGGGGGGGCCCCCCCCCCCAATCAAAAAAGAACCGGGGCCCCCTTGCAAAAACAAATGCAAACAACCCCCAAAACCGGAACCGGACTGCCCTCCGGGGAAACCCAACTGTCACCACAACAAACCCCCAAAACCGGAACCGAACTGCCCCCCGGGAAAACCCCACTGCTACAAAAACGGGGAACCAAATCCAAAACCCTGCCCCCCTTGGAAACCCAACTGCCCCAAGGATAAACCCCGCCCCCCCTGGGGGCCAAATTGCCCCCCCCCCCCCCCTGAAAACTGCAA